AAGATCGAGCTTCATGGGTTCTCAGACGCTTCTACGAAAGCATATGCGGCATCCCTCTATTTACGAGTCATCTCGTCTGACGGAAGCATCACCAATACGTTGTTAATGGCCAAATCGAAAGTTGCACCCCTTAAAATCCTGAGCGTTCCTCGCCTGGAGCTTTGTGCAGCGCTGCTCTTAGCTCAACTTATGACCTTTGTCCGTTCCACTGTCTTAGTCAACAAAATCGATTATTGGTGCTGGACGGATTCAATGATCGTCCTCGCCTGGTTAAAGCAACCGCCGTCGCGATGGAAAACCTTCGTCGCGAACCGAGTTTCCAAAATCCAACTGTTACTTCCCGAAGGAAAATGGAACCACGTTCCTACCCACGATAATCCTGCCGATTGCGCATCCCGTGGAATGGATCCCGACAACCTCCGCGATCACACTCTATGGTGGATCGGCCCTCCGTGGTTGCAAGCTAACGACGATAAATGGTCAGAGTTACCGAATTTCGAAACTCCAGTGCTACCGAAAGACGTTGATACCGAGCGACGCGCTTCTATCACTCTATGCGCGACTTGTGCATCAAGTTCATGGGATCTACAGTCTCGATTCTCTTCATGGACTAAATTACTTCGAGTTACCGCCTATATCTTCCGATACATTCAAAACCTGAAATCTAAGCGTGAGAAAACAAACAATCCTCACATTGCTACCAAGCGAAATTTATATGCCCTCCATCCTCACGAAATACAAATTGCCAAAATCTTTTGGATCAAACAGATTCAAACTCAGCTGTTTCACAAAGAACTCGCAAGCCTTTACAAAAACCAAGTCGTGCCTAAAACCAGCTCGTTGGCGTCGCTCTCTCCCTATTTAGATTCCAACGGATTAATCCGTGTCCAAGGACGGTTAGGCAAGTCACGCCTTCCCGAGGACACCAAACATCCAATCATTTTAAAATCACATCCTTTAGTCAATACACTAATCACTCATACTCATGTTCACGCACTTCACGCTGGTCCTCAGCTTACGCTTGCAATTTTACGACAGAATTACTGGCTGCTCCGCGCCAGAGCTACGGTGCGTTCCGTGCTCTATCGTTGTATTACTTGCACGCGACAAAACGCTCGCGTTCCCGAGCAATTTATGGGCGAACTTCCCGACTTTCGTGTCAATCCAAATTCACGAGCCTTCGTACATACCGGTGTCGATTACGCGGGTCCGTTGCTTGTTCGCCTAGCCAAAGGCCGTGGCCATAAATCCCAAAAAGCATATATCGCGGTATTCATTTGTATGACCACCAAAGCCTTACACTTAGAATTAGTTTCCGATTATTCAACGGCGTCATTTTTAGCTGCGTACCAACGCTTTCTCGCGCGCCGCGGAACTCCGACTTCAATGTATTCCGACAACGGTACCACGTTTCAAGGCGCTGATAAAGAAATGACTGCATCCTTCCAAGCCGCCACGCGAAACCCTGAATTTCAAAATTATTTAGCTACCGAGAGCGTGTCCTGGCACTTTTTACCTCCAGCGGCACCTCATTTCGGCGGTCTTTGGGAGGCTGCAGTCCGCAGTGTCAAGCACCGCCTTAAACGTTCGATCGGCACTCACACGCTTACATTTGAAGAATTAAGTACGCTGTTGTGTCGAATCGAATTGTTCCTCAATTCCCGACCGATTGCCTCTGTCACCGATTCGATCGATGATTATTGCGCGCTAACCCCGGGTCATTTTCTGATCGGCTCCACCTTAATCGCCGCTCCAGAACCAAGCGTCCTCGAATTAGCGGAGCAACGATTGTCTCGTTGGCAACTCGTTCAACAAATTAGCGAACGCGTCTGGAAGGCGTGGAAGGATACGTATCTCCACACCTTGCAACAACGCCCGAAATGGCGATCCGTTCAAAATTTAGCTACCCAAGGTCGCATGGTCTTGATCCGCGATCCCTTGGCGCCCCCAAGTCGTTGGAAGCTTGGGCGAATTGTACAATGCCATCCAGGCAGCGATAATCTGACTCGCGTTGTTACCGTCAAAACCGCCGATTCCGAATACAAGCGCCCGATTACGAAAATCTGTTTTCTTCCGGTCGACATCAATCTCGATCAAGAACAGTCTGCCATGGCGGGCGGTGACAAATAATTCTTTCAACGATGACCATGGTTACCGCGTACCGACGACCGACCTATTGTAAATCTATTGTAATTATTACCACGAATGTATCTACGCCGCGTACTCTGCTTGTACGCACTAATCTACCATATTAGCATTTATCGAATGCAGAACATTCGAGACGGGCGGCATGTTCCGGATTCAAACAGTAATTCTCTGTTCTCAAGCGTTATGTATTTGCAAAGAGAAAGCTATCGAGACAGTGGAATGTCGTTAGTCTCCCAAATAAACCTCGCGATCTAAACAGTTTCGACCATGAGATGTTTTCGCAGTCAAACTCGCCGTTATTGGTAAACGCTCTCACATTATTTCGAATTTGTCCGCCAATTCGGAAAGAGCAGGCGTCTATTCTCCGAAAAGGGAGGATTTCTCTTCGTGAGGATTCCGCGCGACGACACGGGATCTCTGGTCAGAACACGAGTAGTTGGCTTGAAGATAGAACGTGTTACCCGGTCTCGGTTCCCGCTTTATACTGTACGATCAACGTCGTTCGATGTACCGTCACTCAATAAATAATCGAAGGTGCACGAATACTCAACGGACTTTTAAACTCCTGTCACGGCGAGCCTTCTGATAAGGCTGTATCAGCCTCCGTGGAAGAGTCGCGTTTTCGCTGTGCCAACGGCGGAAAACTGACGAGCGACGAATTCACACAACTATTAAAACCAATGCTAAAAATTATATTTTTGTATCATGTTTTTCAAATATGTAAAAGTTTTCTGCGAAGTTTTAAAACGATTTGGTTGCTCGTTTTGCAATTATTATTAAGAAAGCGCTATGATCATCAATTGACGCGATATCGACGACGGAACGTGACAACGCCGCATCCCGACTTAATCTTTCAAGCTAAAAAATTTTTACATTTTCATTAAACTCAAATTCTATTGACAATAAACAATACTTTAAAATATGATTTTACTAAAGGTAGGTAAGGAGAAACGACCAATGCGAGCCCACAGCAGGTGTCCGTGCGAAATTGTCAATGTTTTTTTAATCAATTTAATAAATAATCCAAACGTTTCGACCCGTTTTTGGGTCATCCTCAGTGAAGCTGGGATAAAAGATATGATACATAGTGTTAAACAACTTTACAAAATATTAATATAAATTTGCGAAAAAATATAATGAATTTTTACCTGATTGGATACATAACTTAACACCACTATTATCGAGAATTATCCTCTGACAGTTTCAACGAGATTTAATCTTGACACTAACATAGTTACATTACCAACTCAATTATTGTTTTGGCAATCCTTATTTGCTACACCGGTTTTACTTTTATTTTCGCACTGCCACTTGTCATTGTCATTTATTATTTACCACTCGTCGTGACTGTCTTCTCTCAACTTCGGTGAGTTATTACATTTGAATTCATAACGAATAGTTTAACGAAATACATTCTCTACTTTTAGAATTATCGAATTAACAAATCTAACTCTTTACTTGGCTATCACCAGTTCAAAGATTAAATCTCGTTGAAACTGTCAGAGGATAATTCACGATAACAGTGGTGTTAAGTTATGTATCCAATCAGGTAAAAATTCATTGTATTTTTTCGCAAATTTATATTAATATTTTGTAAAGTTGTTTAACACTATGTATCATCTTTTATCCCAGCTTCACTGAGGATGACCCAAAAACGGGTCGAAACGTTTGGATTATTTATTAAATTGATTAAAAAAACATTGACAATTTCGCACGGACACCTGCTGTGGGCTCGCATTGGCCGTTTCTCCTTACCTACCTTTAATAAAATCATATTTTAAAGTATTATTTATTGTCAATAGAATTTGAGTTTAATGAAAATGTAAAAATTTTTTAGCTTGAAAGATTAAGTCGGGATGCGGCATTGTCACGTTCCGTCGTCGATATCGCGTCAATTGATGATCATAGCGCTTTCTTAATAATAATTGCAAAGCGAGCAAGCAAATCGTTTTAAAACTTCGCAGAAAACTTTTACATGTTTGAAAAACATGATACAAAAATATAATTTTTAGCATTGGTTTTAATAGTTTTTGAATGATTTATTATTTGTCTCAGTTCCCGTAAGACCCTATGTCAAAATAGCAATATTAAATAATTAGTAACTTGTAAACGAACAAATAAAAAGAGTTTCATATTGCAACTCTCGTATAATTTCTAGATTTCTAAACTGTTGTTCTTGAAACATATGGTCGAACGTTATCATGAAGCAGTAATAACTCCACGTCTATTGAGCTGGCATTATTAATTATTCGTTCTTGAAATCTGTACGGCGATTCTGTGACTTGCTATCGATGGTTTTCGGTATCGTTAACCAACCTATGAAAGCTGTGCTTTTAACGTCTTTGCTGTCGTTAGTTAATTTCGATACCGAAAAACATCGATAGCAAGTTACAGAATCCCAGTACTGGTAAAACCATTAATGCCGGAAAATACTGTTCTCAGATGGAGGAAATGCACCAGCAATTACGCTTTAAGCAACCTGCAATATGCATATTGCTTTATGATAACGCTCGACCACATGTAAAGGACGAGGGGTGAGGGGCAAGGGGCGAGAGCCGAGCGCACTGATCTATATTATAACTGGAAAGTGGATGCCCCCTTTCTAGCGCAAATTTTCTGTCCCCACTTGAACAGCGCCATGTTGGAGAAAGTGTGCTATTTTCGGGCATCATCGGTAGCTGTCGTAAATCGTCGTGCGCGCAGTCGTATATATATAAAAGACGCGCGGGGACGCGGAAAC